AATACCATCTTCAAAGAATTTCTTAGACAAAGACAAAAAAAAAGTTTCGAGGTCCGATTTTAGGTGGGCTTGATCATCGAAGTGTCTTTTGACCAGATGATTGCGAAGCGATCGAAACAGATGATAGTCGGATGGTGCCAAATCTGGTGAATATGGTGGATGGGGTAAGACCTCCCACTCTAATTCTTCCAGCTTCTGGCGGGTAACTTTTGAGACATGAGGTTTTGCATTATCATGAAGCAATCGAATTTTTCGTCTTTCTGGACGATTTGCCTGTAGAGCAACCTTCAAATTTTGAAGTTGTTGGCAGTAAAGCTTCGAGTCTATCGTAGTATTAGGAGGTAGAAGTTCCCAGTAGATTATCCCTTCGTAATCCCACCAAATCGATAGCATCACCTTTTTTGGGTGCAGGTCGTTTTTTGGTTCTGATTCGGGCAAATCTTCAGGATTTACCCGCTGGCGCTTGCGCGTATAGTTGACATATAGAACCCACTTTTCATCACCAGTGACTATCTGCTGAAGAAATCTATGTCGGTTGCGTTTTGACAACAAAGAATTGCATATGGTGATTCTCTGCTGTACGTTGTCCGAGGTTAGTTGATGTGGAACCCATGTTCCAAGTTTATTAACTTTTCCCATTTCATGCAAATGGCGATCGATGGTGGATTGGTTGCACCCGAGTATTGCTGACAATTCACGGGTGGTTAATCGTGGATTGTCTTCGATCAGGACTTTTAATCGTTCAATATCAGATTCGATAGGACGTCCAGATCTCGGACGATCTTCTAATGACATGTCACCTTCACGAAATCTTTTTAAACCAATCACGACACGTTCGATCAGCAACAGCACCTTCACCAAGTGCAGCACATATATTGCGGGCAGCAGCACTTGCATTGTTCCCTAATTGGAACTCATACAAAATGCAGTGTCGGATATGAATAGGAATCTCTGACATGTTTTAATGAAGAATGTAAATAAACTGGGACATTTACCAATGTCATCCTATAGTACGACACAAGCGGTATCATATGTATGAAAATCACGAATGCATAGTAGCGCTAGAGGGCTTTAAGAAAATTTTTAAAAAATCGGCGGAGACTTTTGCATCAACCCAATAGTTTCCTTATATGGTAATGTATGATTCAACCTGAAACGACCATTAATATCTCAGATGTTAAATGCATATACAATTTAATTATCGTCTTATGTGACTTAAATTCATCCAAGAAAGAGTCTCGAGCAATCAAGAAAATCTGGCCATGACTTATATAGATGAAATGAGCAATACGATAATGAACAGCTGAATGTTTCCTTATATAGCGATAGCGGATCACATTCATTATCTCTCACTTGTCAGCTGAGTAAACACAGCTGAACTCGACTTAAATTCATTATGATTTTCTCTAGGGACGGCTACAATTTTGAAATAGCAAATGTCATATGCACTCCTATTTTGATATTTTTCGGGCTCGTGCAGTCAGCCGCCTTATCTACTCGAGCTTCGCTCGAGTGGAGGTCTAGTTATATGTTTCTATTTTTGAAATTTATTATTATTTTATCTAGAATGATCGAAACATAATGTTGAACAATTTTTGGTATTTTTAATTTTGGCACCGTCAAAAACAATTGTTGAAAGTGTTCATTTCGAGTATACAGAACCTCTAACTAGTTGTGATTTTTCTGATGAAAATCTATCCGTATAACAAAATGTAGCAAAAGAAACCATATCATGTAGTCTTGTCATTAAAACTATAGATTATTATAATATCCAAGTACGAATGAAGAGAATCTTGTTTTTTCCCATTGAACTCGAAAATGTAAATATTTAATAATCGGAAATACAGCAGAGTGAGACAGATTATCTCTATAGGAAAGCCTAGAAATGAGCAAGATGGTTCCAGTTCAAGTGAAACGTCTGGAATAGCCACTGTTGGTGACTGACTATGAATGTCATCATGCATACGAGAGACAGTATGGTCGAACCTAGACGTCATCTTTCCCTATGCTATGTAATCTGGGATATATTATTTAGGATTAGGATGTTGGTTCATTTGTTGAATAGTATATTTACTATGTTGCTTCATTTATCTTTGTGATAGGTTTTCTCGACATGTTGTCTGTGCTTATATAAGAATTCCTAGTCAATATTTTCTATGTCGATTGATCATAGACTGATCAATTTCGAGCAATCTGACGAAAAATCAATACGTTTAACACCATTAATTAATTTTCCCCACTTATCATATTGGTCACCACAAACATCAACAAATTTGCATGTTGCATCTGGACATGTATCAGTTACATAATGATCTGCCAAAAAACTTCAAATACATGACTGTATAAAAAATAAGAAAAAAAAATGCAAACAAGTTCTGTACCGTTGACAAGTATCACAATATAATTGTTCAACGTTATTATTGAAGGCATCTATAAATTGTTTTATGTAAATCAAAATATTCGTCGCAAGTTTCTCGTGGTGTATATTTCAGTTCATATATCTTAAATTTAATATTAACAATGAAAAAATGGATAAGGAATTGTTTGATTTTACTGAGCAAGAAAACATCAACATTGAATAAAGATTCAATAAAAGAATATTCAAATGAGGTATATTGTTGACATAAGGTAAAGTACTTGTTATCGCAATATTTCGAACATCAGGTTTTGGTGTTCTTTGAACAAAAAAAAAAAATAATGCTGCTAGCATGTTTTGTGTGGGATTAAAGTATGCAACACGATGTAGCTGTTGTTGCTAATCACAAGAAGATTGTTTTATTCAGTCTAATTTGAAAGAGATTTCTTCATCATTCTATTACTTGATGTTCCAGAAATGCAATAAGGAAATAGTTAACTAGACGGTATTAAGACATGATTTTTGATTTCATATCAACAAAGCATGTTACTGTCTCTGATAACATGGAGAGACATGCAACTAAAAGGATTCTTCATTAGGATTAGTAGGCCCGAAGGCTTCAACGTAACCACTGGAATGAGGATTTGTGGAAAATCAGGACGTCCAAAACTAGATTTCTCTTATCTATTCGAAGATTTTGAGAAAATTTTTTATTGAATAGAACAAAATGAGAAGTCTCCGATCTCCATGAAGTTCGTTCATCGAACTACCTTACATGTTCTCCATAAATCGAAAATAAATTGATGAAAGAAGTACATGAAGAGTTCGGTGACGTCTTATTTCGCTCTATCAAATAAAAATTTATAGTTCTATTGAAATCTTCAGAGCTGCTACTACCGATAGAGAATTGTCTCAGCTACATAAATATTTTATATTTCAACATTCATTTCAAATCATTTTTTTACAAAAATATAGTATCAGATAGAATACATGAATGATTATCTACATGTTTTCATCCAATTTCATTTTATTGAGCGTCGAAAATATTTTTAATTATCGATTTAAAGCTTTCTCAGCTTTTTCTGTCGATCGATAATATAAAAGATGAGTCATTCATTTGTCATAAAATTGCATTATTTTCTTCTTTCTATAATCGAATAAAATTATTCCGAAAAGTGGATTAATCATCAAAAGGAAATATTTTATGTACATGGTTGCAGTCCGAAAGACAATTCAATAAATGATGAACAGTTTTCATGAACGAATTCTAAAAAACACAAAGAGATAAATGAATTCGCAATTGAAAAAAATATTGTTAAATTCTTTTTGAAAATAGATCATATCAATCAAAATAGATCGAACAATAATTCAACTTTAATCAATGATATGCTTTTCGAATGAGACGATGTTCATTTGATTCATAATAGAAAGGTTTACAATGAATGATTTCGCTTTTCAGATTTTCGTTGTTTTTCAATAGAAACCTGTAGTCCTACTCAGCTCACATGAATAATTGACTTTTGAATTCAAATTTTGTATGAACATTAGATTAATTCTTTGGGCCAGTCGTAACTTTTCTAGCTCTTTTTTTTTCTATCCTGAGATATTTAATATTCGAAATTTTCTATACTAATGATTCTTAAGAACTTTGTTCGCGCAAAATTTGAAGTCTTTTGATATCGTATGTAAATAGTTATATAGAATTGATATTATATGATTTTTTTTCGTCTGTTTTTATTCTTTGGAAGAAACAGTTCTTAATAGAAATATCTGTCACATGAGATATATTACAAGAAACTATTCATGCAAGGAGAAATTCTATTATCAAGATGTAATGTAAATTGTGTGAATGAAGTTTTGCATCTCTAGTGTTGATCAGATACATATTGCTACCAAACCATGCTCAATATCGAGTATAAGTTTTGCTGTTTATTGACAAAAATTGTGATTGATTTTTGTTATATTAGAGTAAGAAAGACTTGTAATGACAAAGAGGTTCATAGAGAATAGAAAGAATTTCTATATTGTCATTGATCTATCGCAATCTGATCGTATTGAAGAGAAAGATTGAAATGCATGTGATATAAAGGAGCTCTGGAAGTGGAGACGTTTACACTCTTTTTTAACCAATAATCGAGGATTATATATTATTATCCTTAAGAATTAGCCACATTTTTTGTTACTACCCTTTGAAGACATTCTTCCATGTAGATATTCTCATTGGGTTTCTGGTGTCATCTCTACAAATACAAAATAGTTTTGAAGGAAAAACTGATGTGTCATATAATTGTCCAATGTCTGACATATGAATAATCCAAAAGATAAACAAAAGAAGAGAAGCAACGTAGTTCTGGTGGCTCTCTCCGTGATATAATCAGATTCAATTTGATAATAAAGTAATCGTTCAATAATTTATTCAAATTATTCAAAATAAATTCTAAAGCTTTTCTAATTTCTTTATATATATAAAAGAAGAAAGTTAGTTGTTGAATATTCTTGTGACCTCTATCGTTATCCAAATCGATTACTTCATGTATCAACAAATATGAATGTTCAAATACCGTCTCTTCAGGAAATAAAACATAAATGTTTCTGATTAAAACCTTTCAAATGAAATCTTTTTATTATTGTAGTATCGTCAAGAATGTTTAAAGGACCGAGCTTAGACTTATCATTGATGAGTTGGAATATCTTAGCTTCTTGTTGGATTAATAAAGAATCGTATCCAACTTTGTACGAATTAGCTGCTGACTATCAAACTAGAATGAATACTATTGCATCACAAATTTCTTCTCTTAACTGTAATGTCACCATACTTCAAGAAGCTCAAGAAAATATTATTCCATCACTCAAAGAAAAATTGGGTGACAATTACTTATATCAATTTGCACCAAACAATCCAACTTCAGCTTCAGTTGCTAATGGACTTCTTACATTGAAAAAAAAAGATAAAATAACGTTTTTCGATATTATTCTCAATTCAAATATTCTTGATGAGATTGTTTGACTTTAGTTAGGAGATAGATAGATCAGTGAACGATGGTTTTGGTAAGAAACCTCTGTGTTTGTGTTGCACATAGTAAAAATGAATCGACAAGATGAGACACAGCAGAGTCACTTGTATGCGAAACCATAAATAAGAGAAAAAGCCTACAATCGATGGTATCAACGAAATTTTTTCTCTCGCAGTAAAAGAACTTCTCATTTGGTGTTAGTTTGAAGTCTTGTGACACTCTATCGTGTATGTCTACAGACTTCTAAAAATACTTTTTTTGATAGAATCAACTCTCAATAAAACAAAAGTACTAAATGACTTTCTCTCATTCAGCAAGTACAATTTCAAAATTTCAAATGACGACTCATTAGGAAGATTGCTAACTAGGACTAGTCATACGTACAGGTAACATTGTCATCTCTAAAGAGACAATGATAGAACGAATGTATTGTGCATTTGTTAGCATACAAATGTACATATGTGCAATCAACGAAGAGATAAGAAATGGTAGAGAACGCATGATTCAACTTTTTTTCTTCTTTAAAAGACTTACATTTGTGCCTAAACGATGTAATAATGGACTGAAGAGAGAATACTGAGTGTTATAGAGAGATCGAAAGAAAAACTGTTGAAAATTTCATATGAAAAGAGATAATGTGGCGTGCGACTGCAGATGGATGTGGGTGCCGATAAATATGAGTTGTGAGTCTCACATTTCATGGAACCAACATCTACACTATCCACATCTGAAGATCTCTTTAAGAACAAAACATTGATATCAGTATTATGCTATCAACATAATGTTCAATATACTGATTCAATAAAAGTGAAGTTTTTATTGCCTTATGGTTACAGAATATGTCAATAGTTACTATTTATATCACAGTATTCATGTATATTATGACAGGCAAATAAAATACCCCGATTTTTCAATGCTTGAAATAATCAGCATTTAAAATACAATGATAAAGAAGACATATACTCTTTTTTATTTGCTTAGTTTCATTTTTCTTCAGCACATAATACTGATATGTGGATATGGAACCAGAGAAGGCTGACACATACTCTAATACATGCATATCCCATATCGCTTCTAGACGTACTATCAATTCAATTAGACACTAATATCAAAAAGGTTAAGATCTATTTCTATTAGCTGATCATATACATATGAGTCAATCTGTATAAATAGAAATTCATTTGGAAAAAAATGATATATAGAAGTATATGTAAAAAATTCAGCTAAAAAATCATAATAAATAAATGATATATCTTTAGAGAGGTAGAATTGAGTACAAACCATGCAAGATCGTTTCTCGTAATCAATTTATTTTTTTATCAACAAGATCCATTAATGATGAATATATTTAAAAAAATATTTTCATCATGTTTGTTTTTTATCTTCAATCTTTTTCGTTACGTTTATTTATTTTAAACATGACTCTCTCAATCTATTTCATGAAGTATTTTCAATTATTTTATGAATATCTTTTCCTCTTTTCTCAAATTCATCATATCAATTGTTGTTTCAGATCGAAACTTTATAACAATTTCTTTTTGTCATAAAACACAATATATCTCATCGAATTATTTTCTCTTGACTACATATTATTAAACTTACTAAAAGAATTTTTCAATGTAAAATCTTTTCTGTGAACTTTTCAATAGAATTTCTTACATTAAAACATGACGAATAGATTTATGTCATTTTCTTTTCAAAACAAAACAAACAAATAACTTTAACAAAAAATAATGTACATATGAAAAAAGTAAATGCCAGTACAAAAAGTACTTTATGATACCAAACCATATTTGAGCATTGCTTCAATTAATTTCATACATCGTTTATATAAATCATCGATATTTGTTAAATTTTCTCGTTCAAGTTCTATTTCATATAGACAATCAATAACTTCTTTGTTATAATTTAATAAATCAGTTTCATTTGGTAGAATTGCTTTATTTTCTAAAATCTCTCGACGGTCAATTATTAACTCATAAGCTATACCGTCACCAGCATGAATCTGTAAGTCTTTTTTTTTGTCTTTTGAACAACGAGATAACAATATCATATAAATTATTGATATCCAATCATCAGCATAATAACTTGAGACTTGTTTACCATTTGATGATGAATATTGTTTCAATACAGGTGTTGATGCGGTTATAAATGCACCTTCATATTCACCTTTGAAACCATTAAATGTTGATGAATTCCAATCAATTAAATATGCATAATCATTCCTATCTAATATTATATTATGTATTCGAATATCTCGATGTACATATCCAGTTTTTTGAACAATAGCTAATTGTTTTAATATTTGAATAATATATTTTTTTTTACATATATCATCATTCTTTATCATTGTTCCAACTGGATTTGATAAAATAAAACCTTCTTGAACATCGATTTCAATCGTTTTATAATCTAAATCAGATATATTCATATAACCTTTCATTTGTTGAACTATATCATATTCTTTTCTTGACATTTTATTTGAAATTTTCATTGCATATTCAATATTATTATATGAAATTCGATACACCATAGCATTTGCACCACTACCTACAAACAAAATAATCATAATTCAATAGATTTAAAAGATCATATTGCTCATTGAAGAACAATATTTTCTAAAAATTTAATAATAAGATTAAAATCAAATGTTCTTTTTAAATTAATAAACAAATATAGTCAAGTATTCAATTATCTATTATAATTACAAGTAAATTTCTACAATAATAATATAAATCTTAAGAAAATTCATCTCCAACATCTTTCTATTATCGTTTTAATCAATATTTTATTTTAAATGCTTTTTTTTCTAATTTTTATTCTTATTACATACGTCGATGTGTTATGTCGATTAAAAAATCTTGAAATTTTTCATTATTATATGAATATTCTTATCATGACATATCGTATATATTCAATAAATCAATTATTTCTTTTAAACAATTGACAGAAACAGAATTCAATTGAAAAATCAATATTTTAACAAGGAAATAGAAAATTCTTTTAGAATAAAACTTACAAATTATTCTAATTCACATTAGATCTATCTATTCGAAAAATTTTCACATTATCAATTTAGTAAAATACAATCATCACATTTAATCAGTAGCATATATTGATGAATCGTCTTAGGATTTGTTTTTCTTAATATATCTATTAAAAACATCGTTTTAAATCAATTATGATATAAAAATACATCAAACACTCGATTAGATTCATAATGAACGATAGAACAAAACTAAAATAATTCATTTCTATACAAAATCTTTCTCAAAACTACTAAACAATTCTTTTGGTTTTATTTAATGGCATTGAAAATATCACCTAAGAACTATTTCTAATAGAAATATCCTATTAATAACAATCTGATACAAATAATGACATGATCGAAGCTCAATCTATATTTTCTTCTAAATTATTATTAATTTTATCATAATAAATCTTAAACAAAATTACGTCTTATTTCAAATAATACTTACCTAATAATGATTTAATTTCGAAAACATTTGGAATAGAAAATTGTACATATCCTAAATGATTTTTATTGCAATGTAGAAATTTCCAAAAGTTTTCAAGTACATTGTCGGAGCTAAATCTCTCGTACTGAAATTTATCATTAATTATTGATACTTTACCAAAAATTATTCGTTTATAATTTGTTAAACATTCGATGGCATATTTTCGTTCAGGAAATACTTTAACAATTGATCTTAAATACTCCAACATTTGAGAAATATCATTTTGTCTGATAATATTGCTTTTTTTTTCAATTATTGAGACGATATTCCATGGATAAAAATTATTATTAATGGACCATATGAAATCTGGTCGATTGCCACGAAATAAATGTTCAAAATCACCACCTCTCTGATCACCAGTAAATGTTATACTTGGATTAATCTTCTTTAATATATTATCAAATTCTTGACTTTTTTTATTTTCCGGTTTAGATTCTCTAGTAAATTGTTTAATAAGATTTTTAAATTCTTCACTAGGTTCACCAACATCAAATTTATCGATACCAAGATATTCTTCTAAACTTTGACAATCTGAATGTGTTGAACAAAGATAGTATAGAACAGATCGTATTGATGTTGATTTTGATTTTGATTCAGAATTTTTTGATCGAACAGAATCTGATAGACATATATCAGTACGAGAATCATCTAGACAAACCAAAAATAAAAATCATGAATTCAGAAATTACTGTTCTATTAAATATTTTTCTATCAAGATATTCATTCAATTACAAACTTCTACAAAACTCTTAACAAGAACAAAAGTCATACTGATTTCCTTTGTTAATTTTTTTATAATCAAATACTAAAACACTTTTGTCCTTAATCAAAGTTCACACTTTAAAAAATGTTCAACATTGATATAAGAAATGAGGCAGTTGATTTCTTCTGTATGTGACAGTCTCTTATGTATTTCTTAACAAAAATAATCGATCATGTTTTTTATTCATATGAATTTCGTTTTTTACATATAATATTTCAAAACAACACTCATGAAATATGGTTTGTGATCCAAAAAGAAATATACTATTTTTCATTAGAAAAGCTATTCTCTAATCATACATATAAAACAAACTTACTCGTCATTATATCATCGAAATTCAATTCAATACAATAACAGAATACACAAATAGAACAATGAGAAAATCTAAAAATACAAACTAAATTAGTAATAATCATTTTATAGAAAGAGACAAAGATTTTGAAATCATTAGTCAATAGAAATATCCAAATGTTATTTATATCTAAACCCCCTCCCATAATAGAAGCCCCCTCTGGAGGATTCGATATGCCAGACATATTAGAAGCTCCCTTATTTTAAAAACTTTTTGAGAGTTTTTTGAAAACATTTTTTAGTATTTTCACAGCAAAACTTAAAAAATTACAAAATTTTAAGGTAAAAATGCGTTAAATTCTTAGTTAACCGTATTAAAATCTCAAAAACTCCTTCAAAACCCTCAAAAATCTGTAAAAAAAACCCTGAAAATCCTATTAAGACTTTTGAAAAACTTTAGTACCTAAAACCTTCGAAAAATCATAGGACATAATAGAAGCCCCCTCCAAAAAATTTTTATGCTGGATACTTTAGAAGCCAAGGGGGGCTTCTAATATGGGGAGGGGGGGTTTAGTCTACTGACGGTCATAAGAAATGAACCAAACATGCTATCCAAAGAATTGTGGCTCACTTTATATAGAGCGTATGAACTAATCAGATATTGATCTATACTTTATCACCATCTGTCTATTATCTTCTTTTCTTTTCTTTTCTTTTCTTTTCTATCGGTCCACATAAGTGAGCCAAACGTTAAGATAAGGTACATTTACATTCACACGCTACATACACAAGTGTATGTAGTGTATCCTTTCATATTTACACCAATCATATTACATTCCATGCTATACCTATTTTTTTCCATTTGTCATCTGTTATTGGTTATGATTTCATCGTGATGTGATATTCGTGCATATTCGCCCCTTGTTGTGAACGTAAAACCAAGGGGGAAATAACTGACTTTTATGACTTAAAGTCATTCAGAACGTTTTAGATCATGTAGATCATTTAATTAATTTAGTTCTGATGATTCTCGAGTGATTTTTTGTATATATTCGTTGAGCTGCATCAACTGTTAATCATTGTCATTTGTCAACGTTTGATTGATCTCTTACAATCGATCTTCCATCTGTTTTATTTCTTTGATTCGAAAAACAGCATACACAGAAAAGAAAATTTCCGTTTCTGTTTCTGAATTTTAACTAATCTTGTTCAAGGATTCATATCAATGAATTGATTTCTGTTAGAAAAAATAATGGCTATCAAGCTGAGATTGTTGTGAATTCACAGATCAAATTTCATCAATACCTTATTCATTATACATGTCAACTGGAAATTATTAAATGATAGAAGACGTCCTTGGTTTTTTTTCATCTTCTCAAATTCATCATTCAACATGTCGTTTCCTCGATTGACAGCAAATGAATGTTGATTGACTGATTGATAATATAGTAGTTCGGTTTATTAATTGAAATGATGAATGAAAAAGTTCATTTTAATAAAAATTCCTACATACTATGTTCTCAAAGCTGTGTTAAGCATTGAATATGTAATATAGTCTCGAATGTACCATCAGATGAACGATCATATTTTTGTTTGAATTCATCAATGATCTGAAGTTTTCGATCGTTATTAGCATATTGTTGATGACAGACATCAACAAATTCTTTCTTCTTTTCATCGTCGTATTGTCATTTCAGAAGATATCTTTCAATAACCTAATACATAATTGATTGATCGAATTCATTTCAGTCAGTAGAAGAAGTAGTAGAGACAACACAGATAGATATTCGATTTTCTTCAGCTTCATCAACATCTCATCGAAATGTATTCAATTTAAGTAAATACATTGTTCATTTTATAATATCGTTTTACTCAAACTTCATCTTTAGATTGATGTTGACAATATACATATATAGATCGATGTAATTTGAATGATATTTTCGATAAGAATTTATTCATTGACAGCCGAATCTCACCAAATAATAATAAAATTTTCAGCATTTAGTTCGTGAAGAGACTCTTGTTCTATGTGTCCTGACAATAATGACGAATTTAGACATTGAATTCATGTCTTTTTTCAAATTATAATCTTTTTTTTGAAAATCGTCTGAACAAATCCTTACTTTGCTTTTTGTTGAAACTATTAACAATAATATGAAAGACAGAAATCAAGATATTTATATTAGTATCAGATAAAAATCATTTGTTTTAATTTGTATCCAAAATACAACTATTTATTTATTGGATATCTAAAAGAACTTGGAAAATTTTCGATTTATAAAAAACACATCACAATCATGTTTGTTTATTTACAAGCAAGGTTAATTCTGTTGAATGCATCATGTTGTGAATGAAATGAGACATTTTTCTCATATTCTTTTTGTTAATGATTTCATAGAAATACTTTTAAGTAAACTTCAAAATAAATTCTTTATTCACTTCATATCTTATTTATTAATCAATCTTACAAGGCATCGATGAAAAGAAAAATTTCAAATGATTGCTAACAATATAATTTTCTCTTTGCATCAAATAGTTTTTGTATGATTAAGAATTTTCTAAGAAAGACTTCAGAATATTTTCTTTACCGAGTTTATCTTTCTCCAGTCCATTTGTTGAACAAGGTAAAATCTTTTTCTTTTTGGTAGAAAATGTTTAAAAGAATAAAGAGAAAATGATAATGTCTAATACACTTTCTAAGATTCTCAGACAAATTTCAGATATGACTTTATCTTTACATCACTTTTTTTCTATAACATCTCTGTCACATCTATTTTGGATAAGATGAAAGTAAAGTCTAACGTTTAAAAATTCAATTTTAACCAATATATAGTACGCAGTGTCAAACTATACATCATATATGATATTTAAGTCGTCGATATATGATTTATCCAACTTTCTACTGTAAACTAATCTTGTTTATCTTTTTGCTAATGAGAAATTTATATTTCACTATTGATATGATATAGGGTAAAGCAAACAACTAAGAAAAATAATATTATTGAGATATTTACGCATAAATATATTTTTCTTATCGATGAAAGAAATATTTATTTGATAATATATAAATTAATCTATATATATATATCTTAATTTAAAAAAATCTATTATACAATCTATGTAGTAGATTATTGAAATAATTCATTGACGTATAATAAACGTTCGTATCATACAAATAAAAAATAAGAATATTATTACATCGATAAGCAAATAAACACTAAAGATAAATAGATCAATGGCATTATATTAAATCAAATATTGCAAGATCATATATTTTCCAATTTCTACTGTCATTAAATCTTTTTATTTTTTTATGTCAAACTAATGACTTCATTTAATATAAATATTCATAAACAACATTCATTTCATTCATTAATAGTTTTATTTTATATAAATTCATTATTGTAGATCTTATTATTTCTGTGATTATTAATTACGTAAGATCCCTTGAAATTATTTACCCAATATTTTTTGATTATAAAACAATTAATTCTAAAGACAACAAAACAAAATTAGTTGAAAGCACATGACATTTATGTGTCAGTTAGTATCCATATATTTTTCTAGGGCAATATACGATAGAATGCAAGTAACTACTAATAGCTAAAGAATAACACATGCCTATCATATTGATTCATTCAGTTCGACACAACATAATAATAACAATTACGATGATCTAACTCTTGTTCTGCTTTTTCTCTCTCTCTCTCTCTTTTTTTTCACATATAATATAACCAAACGAATAGCTCGTGTGTAAAAGAGAGATAAAGAAGAAAGCGATTCGATCGGCAAACGCTTAACACATCATACTATCACGCACACATCAACAGCAATTAGGCTAAGTGAAGATTGAGATAAATCAGTGATCAAGATACCTGGTTTTTTTGCTCCATTGCGTGCTCTTCATTAGAGATCATTGATTTTTCTCTTTCATTACATTACAAACAAATCTGTACGTTCAGAGTAAGTTATATTTTTTCCAAAATTCTAATCATGAGCTAATAAAGATAAGAGAAAATTTAGAAAAGATTTAACAAATTTTCACCTAAAACAAAATTTTTTTTTTCTATATCATTAGTGAAGATAATAAACCAATTTAAAGCATCAAATTCCGGCTATATATAAATAAATAATTAAAAACTTCGATACCTTTATGAATTCAAAAAATTCTTTGGATACTTAATTAAGATCTCCCAGTCTAACAGATATAGAAATTTTTAATCTTTTTCAATTTTATTAAATTTTAAGAAACGATACCAAATTCATGAGTCTCTAATTGAGACGTACCGTTTTTTTGTCAAAGGCTTAAATAGCATTTCCTTTTCTTAATAATCAATTTCGGAAATACATTTTTTTAAATATCAAATGAACATAGTGGTTTAAAATAGATGATCTAAAGTTCGTTCTATGTAACTTTTAGATTGTTTTTGCAAAAAATAGTTTTGTTGAAATATAATAAAATATTCATAGAAGTTCAAAAGAAAAACAAGAATATCTTTACTATAAAAATGAGAAAATTTCAAACTATACATTACTATCATCTGCATAGTAAACGTTTTTCTTTTCTTGTTTGTTAAAATATAAGAATTTTAAAAGATAATAATAAATTCCTTTCATTCAAATTATTCATACAGAAAAAAAAAGGAAGCCTATTCTATAATTCTTTATTCATTTAGAATAAAACTATGACAGATAAAAAAATTTCAACAACCATCAATTCAAATGACGGAACAAATAAAATAGTTGAAAAATATCTCAAAGAAAGCGATAATGAAGAAGATAGTGGTATGTACAAGTGTTTCATTTAATTAAAGAAGAAAAAAAATCTCATTTTGTGATTATTAAGAAAAAAAAAATAACAATAACATTTAATCTTGTTATGCATATTATTCTCACATGACATGAATAAAAAAAAGTATTTCTTTTCAGTTGAAATATTTTTTAAAGGTCATTGTTATGATTAACGTCTTTCGCTATTTACATGAATAAATTCCTTCAAGCATTCGATGTCATAGATACGTGAATGCTTTTTTTTTTATTTTCCGTCGTCATCTATCATAAAACTTCTTTAATGAAGCAAGAATGCTAATCATTGAACAGGAAAAAAAATGTAAGTAATATGGTAGTTTCAAAACGATGAGTGTGTTTCTTTCATTATTACAATAAGATAAAAAACAGCGAGAAATGAGCTCACACCTGACTTTTCCTATTATGCTTTCACGCGTAGGTTGTCGTTTGACACATGCTCATATTCCCGTGTAATATGACAAGATTCTTCTTTTTCTAAAAAAAAAAAGTTTTTTTTTTGTTCTTCTAACTAAAAAAAAAAAATCAGTATGAATATTCCTTTTTTTATTCTTTTGATACTACAGTAATCATTGTCTGTAGCCTCGATTGATTTTGAAGAAGAAAAAAAAACCGAACATCTGGCCATATGCTTTGGTTGGGTACTAATAAATCAAATTTGCAAGTTCTGTTTTTTGAAACGTTATTTACTATCTAGATTGTTTTTGTTCCTCCTCTCTTCCCCCTCCCTCTCTCTCGCTCTCTCTTTCTCTCTCTCTCTTTCTCTATACCTATCTTCTTCCTCGAACTCGACGAGCAAGAGAAAAAAGAAACAGAAAAAAAAGTAGAAAAATAGGCCGCACAACAACAAGTATACCGGCTACACTGAACACATTATACACTTACACGACATGATGATCCTATCGACTACTTATTGTAACACTTAAAAATAGTAGAATTATATTTTGTAACGTGCTTAAAAACAAAGAATTAGAAAATCATATTAGAAATTGTATAATGACATCTAAAACAAATAAAAAATTAGTAACAACAACAACAACAACAATAACAGCAGCAACAGTATCAACTTCCGTTTCACAGCAATTTGCCAGTCAATTGGAAGGTTTTATTGAGTGTGAGTAATCATTAATAGTTTTTATTGAAAAATAAATTTCAAAATTAGTATTTAGTTCTATCATTGAAAATAGTCAATTGAATATTATTGTATTAATAAGAAACATATTGACATATTTTTGCCTGATGGCGTCACTACATAGTCAATATAAAATAACTAAAGGGAAAATTCCCTATGTGTATGAATATTAACTTCATTTTTTTAATTAAGAAATTTGTATCTTTTCTAGTCGTATACAATCATATAGATGACGTATATAAACTCTCTTATCTTTCTTGGAAAAAAGAATGTCTATGATTCTTTCTAAAATTAATACCTTTTATTTTCTACACATATGATAAACTTAAAATGAAATTTAAAAAAAATTATTGTGAAGAAGTTTGATTTTTGTTGTTAATTTTAAACGATCATTATCTTCAGATAGAAATCTAACGAAATAATAGAGAAATTGATGAGATTTGATAAGACAGATAGTTGAAATTCATTTAAGGTTAATTGACAAATATGAAATCATTTTTATTAAATATTTTCTAGCTGATGAAGAAGAAACTGCAGTACCTGCTTCAGCTCAAAGTCTTGGTATTCGTGCACAAAAAAAATTACTAAGGTAATAAAATACATATGAGAAAAAAAACCAACAATAAAGAACAATATTCATTTTTCTTTTAGTAAAATTTCATCAAAATCAGTTGTTAAAGTTTTTATTGATGACACTAGTAGTCATGTATTAGACAATTTACATAAATTAATACGTGCTTATTCAGATAGTAAAAAAGAAGCTGACAAATTACTTAAATCAATAATAAAAACAATTGTTAAATTGGGTATATTATATAAAAATAATTTATTTAATGAATATGAATTAAAATTAATTGAAGATTTTCGTAGTCGTTTTCATTCATTATCAAAAGCAATTGTTACATTTTATGAAGTTGATTTTACATTTGATCGTGTTTTTTTAACACGTATGTGTAGAGAATGTCAAGATTTAACACATAAAATTATATCAACACATTTAACACAAAAATCTCATATACGTATTGATTATATATTTAATTATTTATCAAATTTACAATTTATTGAATATGTTTTTAATTCAAATTCAACGGCAACTCGTGCAATTATTAAAGAAATTGTTCAAGATATGAATTCATTAATGGATGCTGGACTACTATGATTTATATTGAGACACGTTATTGCTATGCATGCTTTATTTTAATCAATTGTCAATGCTTGGGTGTTCTGTGTATAAACATTTTTTTTTTGCATTCGCTTTTTTTTCTCATTATATATCTTTTTTTTTCTAAGTAAAGAATCTTGATGTTTATTATCATAATTTCAGTTTAAATTAGAGTTATTTTAAATGACGATGGTGAATTTCTATATTATGAAAGATTTATACAAACAAAGAAAAAAACAAGCACGTTTCATTTTCTTTTGATAGATTCGGTTTTGACAAGCATTTAAAAGGATATAATTTATTAGAAGATGAAGTTTGATTATTATTAATTCAGACATCGTATGAATAAATAGAATTATATTATTATATGAATATAGGATTAGACACCAGAGAGACTTCAATATGTCATCAAGCTTGTCTAAGATAGACAGACAGACACAAGTCCTAATTTTTGTATCTATCACAAACTAGTTAGGCCTGTTAAAATTAGCAAGACATCAAAATATATAGTGATTCATCTTTGCGCTTAGAATATATGTAATGGTTCTTTTTTTACTATTTTGATTATATATAATTATGACTAATTATAGATAATAACAACGTTGTTCATTTCCCATTTATTTGTTTAGTTTGTTTATTTCTTTCAATAAATTACTGTTTACAATTTCTAACCAATTATTATTATTTTCTTATACAAATTATTGACTAATTCATATTTATGTTGTTGTAATAGGACAGCAGCACATGATATATCCTCTTAAGCTAATTCATCAAATCCATTGAAAAGGTTATTACTAAAAACAGAGGTTTTGTTTTTGATCGTTCATGTTTTCTTTGTGGTTTATTGTTGACAGATGTATACTATATCTAATTAATAAATGCTTCACATCGTCATATGGTGTTAGTGTACATAGATTTCTTGCCTTTGTATTAGGACAGTCTTCTGTTTCTATTCAATTATCATCATAATAGTATTATGTTTAAAAATAGCTTATTAGTGCATTCCCATTGGGACTAAAATGGGAAACTCGCATGTTTTCTTTAGTCTCATTACACTAATACAAAATATGTAAAAAGAAAAAAATCTCTAGCAGATCACGGTTGTTTTCCAAGAATAATCGATCGCCCGAAAAACGATCTGTCTTATTTATGTCTATATGTCAAACAGAAATTTTTTCTTCTTTTTACTAATTCTCTATGGTTTGTTGGCCTTGTTGCTATTCATTCGATGTCCTTCATTTTCGCATTCCGCTTTTCTTAATTTAACATTATTATTATTCTAACTATTGGTTTAACTGACAAATAAGCCTGTTACACATATCCAATATATCTATAGTAGATTCCAACACACTATTATATATCTCAATAAGCTCACAAATACTAACATTGACTATTTTCCAAAGGTATAACTTAATCATATGACGACTGTTACAAATCAATGTATCACTACCAATCATCGATGACATTTTCAATAACAATTTTTATCTGTACAAAACCCAAAAGCTGCACTACTTAAAACAATCATAAACATATTCCAGTCCTTACAATTTCGAGAAAGACTTCGAAACATTCTAGAATACTCTAAGCCTTGTTGTTAATACCATTCAGCACCGTTTTTTACGTTACTAAGAAACTCTGAAAAAAGAAGTCTGAAGCTTGTTGTCCTTGGTTACTACGAAAAAGTATTCAAGGATCGGTCAAGATAATGTAAGTTCCACAAAAGAATATACAGATTATAAGAAGTTGGTCGACGAAAACAAATGATAGACTTCGATCAACTAAAGACGTTCATAGTCTGTCATAAGTAAGTCAGGCATTTAAAAAATAGGTTTGTTTGGACCTCTATTAGGTATGTATTGATCAGATTTCAGTGCATTTCGTCTATTTGAATACGACCAACGATGAGGTTCCTGTAACAAACCATTTTTTTCTGTTTAATATTTATATGTGAAAATAATAGTAAGCATTCAAATAAAGGTGAACGAATTATTGTATTTTGAAAATTACTTAAAATAATCTGTATCTATTTCATAGACAATATGGTTATTTTTGGTAGCATAACATTTCATCTTTTGTTCTTCCTAGACAGTAAGGATAGGATCTAGAAATAGAAACTCACTCGTATCTGTCGATCTGTTCGTCTATAACATAGTTACCGTATGATAAGTATGGTACAAATTATCATATAGTAACTGTGAGACAAATAACTGCGTAGGATAACAAAAAAGGTACGTATGCATTATGATACATATTACCAAGGAATACTATTCCAGAACAAAGAATACAAAACTTATGCATTCCGTATATGACAGTATACGACTGTAATTTGGTGCTCGGGGAAATACAGTGGTAATACTGAGCCATGTAATATGTCAGTATGCGAACATTTACGCTCGTTTACGATCGTTCTTATTCGATCTGAGATGTCTTTAGAAATGATAATCTTTGTTAAGTTATTGAATGGTTTGATCGATTGTTCAATATTATATACATGAGGATGCAATGCAATATTTATTATGAGTTAGAGAGTGAATCTGAACGTATGATTATGATTAACTAAAATCATACTATTAGCATTATGTGATATTAATTCTTTTTGGCAATAGAAAAGCGCTAATTAACTATTTGTAAATAATTGTGTTGATTTCTATGTAATCTTTATAAATCAATAAATATATAGCATACGTTTTATTTCAAACATAAAAAATACTATGAATGATAAAAAGTCGCAATGTTTTCCATTTCAAGTTTTTTATTTAAAATATTCAACCATTGAGCTTTTTGTAGGAAAATCAATAACATTGCATATATAAACAAAACTCCATTAGACAAGTATAGCATATTCAAAATCATTTTTTTTTACAAACATAAAAATCAAATTGTAAGTTACACAAAAAAAAATGATTTTGTGAAACGGATCGCTTTTATATGTCAAATCACCTCTTGTATTTATCTAGTACTTAACTTAATGCACGTTTTATCACAATGCATCTATATGCATATCTCTATTTCGTTAATCTAAGACCACCAAGTGAATCGAGTTACGATGAATATTACTTGTTATGCAAGCACCATTTATACTCCAGAAAACCAACACATCGTAATATGTTCAAATCAGCTAATCAATCTTTAACAATTAATAAATTATATTCCTACTTAAACAATATTGAACTACCGATAAAGTCATATTGAATAACTTAATCAATGCTGATCATTGAAATCATATTGGCCAGGCGTTCGTTTTAACCTTATTACACGATTGTTTGAACCGTATTGAAGATAGACACATACAGAAGAATTTCTGTTTCTAAATGTTACCATTTCAATCCAATGAATTTCGCTGTACTATCATTACACTCCAGAATTCTCAAAATCTTGTATAATGATAGAAACAATGATTTTATGACAATCATTCCTTCAAATTATTAGTTATAACTCGAGAAAATGGAAGATGAAGGCAGTTTGATTCAACAAATTCATTGAATCTAAGATAATATTTCACTGTTTATGATCTCGACTACACATAAACTTCACTTCTTCGTTGATAAATATTTATATATTACTCACAATATAATGCCTATAGAATCAACTAGAAAAATCACTCCAAAACATTCAAGATCATTTGACCTTACATAGACGATCAATGATGAAAATATTCTTGTGAATCAAGTACAAGAATGCAAGAAGTGCTTTTAACCATTCTCTCACTTTTTATAATGACAATTGAAAATTCAGATATATAAATAGAAGTATTTCATCTGTTAATTAAAAACTGATAATTTATGTTTTCAATGATTTCATAACTATAATCATTCTTTAAAACATGCATCATTACTAATCCCATTTTTATGATGTCTACATTAAGATATAGAATTGCAAAAAAAAATATCAATCGAAAGCGATTCGAATATATTTTCAAAAGAACGTCTCATGTAAAACATTTTAACTCAAATGTGTTCGCTCCAAAAAAAAGAAATAATCTTCTTCAGTCTCAAATAAAAACTTCTCGTACAACACAAATCACTTCTCTGTATGTCATGATCGATATGTGTGTGACAGAAAATATGTCTAGTTCATATGATGAAGTATGCCTAGTTATAATACCTTAATTTAAAGTTATTATTTGAACATAAACAGTAAGAAATCTTAGCTTGTAATTAAAATTCAATAAGAAAAATTTCGTTTAATAATATATGCACAATGAACTTGACTAAAACAAACATTATATTGAATATAAAATATTCTTGTTGAATGGTTCAACAAAAAAAAAAAAGAAAATTCAAGCAAATGTGATTATTCTTCTTTGTAAAGCAATCATGAAAGCAACAAAAAAGAAATGTATGAAGAAAACGATTGAAAGACGATGGAGAGAGAGAGAGCAAGAGCAAAAGAAAATTTTGAAACTATGTCGTTACACACAAACACATATATACACGACACCCTGTCAACTTTTTTTTTTCTATTGTGTTTTCTGTTTACTTTGTTCGCGTTTGATTAGGTGTGTTCGGAGACAAATGGGATGAAGTCTCTATCTTTTATTGAACTGTAATATATAATATAGATTCAATATCAATGGCAACAAAAAATTTATCAACATCATTTAAAGGTAAAATTAATGGACAACGTTTACCACCAATTCCAATTACAAATGAACAACCAACAACAGCAACAACGACAACAGTAACTAATGGAGATAATCTAACTTCAATTTTAAAAAAATCAAAACCATTAATGGAAGATTTGACAACTGATGATCATACACTTCCTCTTGATGATGGTTTGATTATATAACATATTTACATTATTAATTGAATTTTTTTTTCTAGATGACTTCGAAACTTCACGAGTTATATTTCAAAAGTAAATTCAAGAATAAATTTTATTCTTTCAAAATTTTTTTTTTTTTGTATTTCTATTCTTAGATCATCAGCAGATGTGCTCATGTTACTTGATACTTATCCACCTAAAAGTAAATTATTAAATTTCTGTCATTTTTATGAAACTTATTCATTGTTTCTTTTTTTAGCTTGGACAGTTCCAAAATGTTTAAAATCAAGGTTAGAAAAAAATAATAATTTTTATTTTTAGTTTTTGTTGAATATTTTTCTTTACAGTTATGAACATATACTAGATCAAGGTCGAAAATCAAATCCAATATTTGGTAAAGATCTAATTATAAAACTGGTTTTTTTTTTGTATATTGTCTTGTTTTTTAAGATATTCCTTTATTTTCTGATAATCAACATGATGATCCAATTCATGTATTTCCATCACCAATCAGTGATCGAATATCGGTTTGTATAATTTATGAATTTAAATAATAACAAAATTAAGATTCAATCGTTCTTTAAGTTTCTTTTTCTTCTTTAGTTTCTCTTCCACAAACATAAGAATTTTCTTTTTTCTTCTGTCTTTCTTTCTTTCTTTATTTTTTTATTATTTTTACTTTTCTTTTTTTAGTCGTCGCGATACTGTCGTCGATCTGTCAGCAGTGCTTGTAGTCGTCGGTCGTCAATTCTTTTTCAACGTCACACCGGTATTCCTGTTGATTCAACACAACTTTTACGTGAGGATACATTTGACACGGTATGTGAAAGTCTTACTGGAAGTATTCGTCAATCGTATCCACCTTTACCGCCAATACCAACTGATTCACTTTCCAATTCAACAAAGTCATTCACAGTTCCATCAACAGCTCCACCACCAAGTATATCACCTCCATTAATTACTGCCGAAGAAACATCTGCTATACAAGAAGAAAAAAACGAATTTACTCGACGTTTACTTTCGAAAAGTCTTCATCGTGAATCGAATATGTTACCAACAGATAAAACTATGCATTGTCCTACAGTTACACAGAAAACGCCAATAGTTAAACCTATTGTTGCACCACGATTACAAAAATCTATTGTTGATAATCGTCGTGTACATAGTGTTGAACGACCAACTCCAGTTGTTCCTATTCGAAATAAAATTCCAACAACAACTAATAATAATAATATTAATACTTCAACGAATACAAATCATCAACGTCTAGGAAAAGTTTCTTTAGATATTTTTCAACCACAATCGAAATCTAATAATACAACAAATAAAAAATCACTAGCAATAAATACTACAACAAAAATTACAACAAAAACTAATATACCAAAAGTAAAAACTAATCCAACAATACCGAATGAAGAAATTATTCAGCCAAACAAGTAGAATACAATCTTTTTTGTTTTTCTTTTACTTTGAATTTCATTTTTTTTTTTTTTGTTATATTAGTGACGTCATTCCTCCTTCCACAACAGCTGTATCTATCGAAACAACACAAATAACAAATACTGTTAAAACAGAAGAATTACCTTCTACAACTGTAAATGTCGAATCTGTTTCTCCACAAACTGAACAATTAAAATTAGACATTCCTACTGAACCAAAACGTCGTTTATCACCTCGTTCTAATTCACTTAGTGCTCGTCAATGTTTAAATCCAGTACCATTACCATTAACATTACAAGGAGAACAAGTTGTTGACGCTGATTATCCACAAACAATATCGAGAGCTATTACACCTGCAATAATTAATTGTCAACGACGAGGAAGTTTTAAAGGTCAACCATTAATAACTGAATTATTTGAAGATTCAATAATTGAAACACAAAATCCTATTGTAAAACCTGAACCAATACTTTCAGCAAAACATTCAACTATTAAAATGAAAAAACAACGACGAAATTTTGTTAAAAGTCCTAAACTAAAAAAACCAATTATTACAAATAAACCTAAAATATCAGCAAAAATTATTGAAAAAGCTGAAATGAAATGTCAAAGTACAAATACAGAAGTAGATCAAGAAATAAATCAAGAAATAAATCAACAGATAGATCAACAAATAAATCAACAAATAAATCAACAAATAAATCAACAAATAAATCTAGAAGAAAAAACAAATGAAAACGCAATTATTGTCGGTGGAACAGATTGGGTCATAGCAGTTAAACCACAAGTTATAAATGTTCAAGAATCTCTACTTTCGTCTGTATTTGAAGTATCTACAGTTGATGATGAAGATATACCATCTTGCCCTTCACCTATAGATCATCTAGATGTATCACAATCAACACTTATGACAAGTTTTGGTGATATTGCAGTATGTTTTTAATTGTATATTCTTCTAAGATATGAGTCATTTCAGACAAAACGGAACATACTCACCTTTCATTTGACTTTGATTCTTTACAAGTATTATTTTTTTTGAATGAAAAAAAAAAGTCCGAAAACTTTAGGATAGACTCTATGGCATGAATCGCATCTATGGTAAAGTTTTCAGCAAGATCAGACTTCAAAAAACCTTCCTCCTAAAAATCGATTTTTTTAGAAATCCCTATCAAGTTCCCAAACAAAAATTTTTGTCTTACTATCATCTAGAGACTTTGAAGAAGGATTTGTATCGTTTGAAATTGGTTTTAAACTTTTCATTCTATCATAAGAATAGATTTTTTGTTTGTCTAAGAAAAAAACTTTGCATAGAGATTTTATGGCTTCAGGCTTTGTCTACAAAATGTACTATTTAGTTTTACTTCAACTTAGAACTTTTTTAAAATTAAAATGTATGTAGTGAAAGTCGATGTCCTTTTTTTGTGTCACGTCATTAACGCTGGTTTTTACTGATAGTTCCTCTGAACCAAGATCTCTAGCGCTGACTTCTTTTATGATATCTAGAGTATCTTAACATACATGTCACATATAAAAATTAGCTCTAAAAAAAGTTTATTATCCCACGATATGCATGTTCTAATTTCATGAAATCATATCGCTAACTTATAATTGGGCCAATATACAAAACTTCTGACTGAGATCTACTTCTTTTAGACGAAATATCTTGTTGAGTATTTCATCTGAAAGAATTTCTTATTCTAATCATAATGCTGAAAATTCATTAGTGGAATCGGCTTACTCTAAAAAACTTCAAACTAATTTTCCTAAGACCTCGCATAAGTTCACAGAGCTTTAAAATTCTTTTTTTTTTATTATACAGAGACGGAATAGTATGGAATCCTTACAAGCAGTTGAAATCAATCCTGTGTTAACTCAAACTATCGAACATCCTGTTGAACCAATATCTCAAAATTCTCATCAATCATCAAAACCAAACGAACCTTCACTTATTAATTCTGATATTCGTACTGTATATGAAACAGTAAAAGATTCAATACGTAAAGATACATCACTTCGTTCATTACCATCACAATCAAATGAACAAGACATTGCACTAGTCAAACCATCAATATCATCTCCATCAACAACAAGTACATCAACTAATAATAAAACATTACCATTTGAAGCTTCTACTAGTGTTACACATACATACAATAATTCAGATACAGGTCTTTCTATTCGACCAGCTTTTCGTGTTGTTAATGATAGTTTAAATAGTCGGGGTAACAAAATTAAATAATCTCATTAGATTTTTTCCTTTATCAAATTTTTTTTTTTCCAGGTAGTGAAACTATTGATTCAACAAGTAGTTATGAAGATTATAATACAACACCATTATGTACTGAAACTGATTGTGATGACATCTATCGAACAGCTCGAAAAGGTCGACAAGTTGGACGAGGAGTAAGTATCTATTAGATCTGAATAGAGAACAGGATACTCCTGATATTCAATCATGTTTCTACAAATAATAGGATGTAACTATGTCTACCTTAAAGTGAATCAAATGAAGCGATGCAATAACAAATAGATGAATTGTTGATAAAATTTTAAACCTAATTTATTCCATTAAATCAAATAAGAGTAGAGATGAATCGAAGAATAACACCGATGATTATAAGTTTAATATAAAAAAATTCTATTAGTTCGATATTCTTCACATTGTTTTTAAATAAATTCTTATTTAAGAAGATATGCATATTATATAGAAACAAAGTGGAATAAATAGATTAGATGATAATTAAGAATTTTATATCTGCTTGTTGAGAGATAACAAATGAAAATTACTAACTCTGTACGTTGTGCATAAAGTCCTGTTCTGTACGCACCTCTGATGTCTATCGTACTAGAATAAATATTTTTTTTAAAAATCTTTTTATTTCTATAGGCATATGGTATTGTTTGGTCATATTTAACAATGACTGGAAGAATGATTGCTGTTAAAGAAATCGAACTTGATGAAGGTGATAGTGAACGTGTACGTAGTGATTATGAATCAGTACGTGAAGAAATTCATATACTTCGAGCACTTAATCATCCATATATTGTCAAGTAAGAAAAAAAAAATAACTTTCTGCAGAATGAAATCAAAATTATATAAAATTTAGATTTCTTGGCATTTCATTAGAAAATACACGTTTAATAAAAATTTTTATGGTAAAAAAGAAAAAAAAAATCTAATGATTGAATAGTATAAATGAAATTTTCTCTTTAGGAGTATCTTCCAAATGGTACCATCGAAAATTTATTAACAGCTTTTGGTCCATTTCATAATGATGTTTTAAAAAAATATACTCGACAAATTGTTGAAGGTGTTGCTTATCTTCATGATTATGGTGTTGTTCATCGGTAAAAATTCAATCTTCTTTTTTTTTTAATTAATTTATTCATTTATTTTCTTTATATAGAGATATAAAAGGAAAAAATATTATGCTTGATGTTGATGGTAATATAAAATTAATTGATTTTGGTTGTGCAAAACGATTAAAGAAAAATCAAAATACACATTCAATGCGGCAAATACTTAAGTCAATGAAAGGTTTAATAGAAAACAAAAAAAGAAAAGCTTCTTCATTGACATTTTTCTTTTCGAAATAAATTTACTTATAGGTACAGCTAATTGGATGGCACCAGAAGTGATAGCAGAGACTGGACATGGAAAAAAAGCCGATATTTGGTCAATAGGATGTACCTTATGTGAAATGGCAACAGGAAAACCACCATGGTCATCAGAACATAATCATTTAGCTGTTTTATTAATTATTGGTAAAATTTAATTAAATTAAATTTAAGAAATTAATTTTTATTATTGTTTAGCTAATGGTACAAAACCACCGGCTGATTTACCTGATACTTGTCCAGTAACAGCTCGAGAATTTTTTCGTTTATGTTTAACACGTGATCCAGCAGCGAGACCATCGGCAAAAGATCTATTAACTCATCCATTTTTAGCTTCATGAAAAAAAAATTCTTTTTTTTTTAATTTCTCTCTAAAGCGAATTATTGTCTTTCAAATATTCGTTACATATTGTGTTTTATCATAGACGAAATTTTTTTCTATTCACTGGTGTTTTGTGTATATTTTTTTTTTCTTCCAATTTTGTTATTTATGTGTTAAGAAGCACAAAAATACATAATCTCACATTATCATTCATTCCTTGCTTTTTTGAAAATTTCCGTTTTTGAGATTGATACTTAGATACAGCTTCTTTCCGACGAACCCAACATTTATTATAAGGGCATCACGCCTCGGTTTTGACCGTTTCTGGTTCTCGAAGACGGTACAATCGATCAAACTGAAATTTTTACACCAAAAAATATAGAGACATATATTCAAGGGAAAACAAATTTGAAGTGGACTTCTGTGAGCTTTGCTGGAAAACCCTAATTTTCATAGAGTCGCATTCTAGTACATTACGATCCTCATCAAATTTTATCCGATTGGACTGAAAATTTTGTTTTTTTTTTTTGGAGATACGAAAGGCTATATCTCAGAGGTAATTTTCAACTTTTCCAAAAATTCCATTTTCTTCGTTTTAATGAGAGAAATATGTAAAATTTTGATGCCAAAATTGAGATCTTGGTCTTTAGGACTCTGTGGATCCGGGTAGGAAAGTGGAAAATGAAAACGACCAATTTTATCTCTGGAGAATACTTCCAAGTATCAATAGTAAAAATTTCAGCTCGATTGGACAAAATTAAATGGGAATCGTACGTAACCAATATGCTATCCTCTGAAAACCAGATTTTCCCAGAAAAAAAACGCTAAAATCCACTTCAAAATGTTTTCCTCGAACACGTGTCTTCTTATTTTTGGTCTAAAACATTCACCTTTATCGATTATATCGTCTTCAAGAGCCAAAAAGAGTCAAAACCACCAGGATACTCTTAAAAGAACTACTCAATAGCGCAAGTTTCTTTTTTGTTTAAGTAAAATTACCACATTACTAAATATGACATATCTTTTATCTTGTATCGAAAAAATAATGAGATAGTTTCGAATGACACAATAGAATTATCTCTTAGATCATTGTAAAGAACTACAAGCACTTTCAAGCGTTTTAATTTTCTTAACCGATTCTTTTGTTTTTTACTAGAACGTATATATTAGATTGATTTCTTAGAGTAATAAAATTTTGGCTATGTATTCATCTAATCAATTAATAGATTTCTCCATATATACTATTGTATCCATTTTATTGAAACTAAAATTTAAAAATTAATAAACAAATACAAAAATCGTTCTGATTTAGATTCTAACGATGCCTATTGCTGACTGAAGAAAATCTCAAATTTAATATTGACATTTAAGAAAAAAAAAAAGAACGTCATAGAATGTATAATAAAACCTTTACAAATGAACAACTCCTAATTATGAACGATCTCAGGTTAGACGGGGCGATTCTTTGCTGGAAATGATTCTCTGTAATGTAAATACTTTTTTCTGCGGTCTCTCTTGCCTATCATTTGGCTTGAGTGTACGACGGCTCAGTACACTTTATCTATGAATCCACTATCGTATGTACGAAGAAAATAATAGCATCACGATGCGGAAAAAAAAACTATATCTTGTGTTATAATTGAAAAATCTTTCATTTCAAATCATTTAGATGAAAATAAATGAATAAATGGCTAAGCTTGTATCCTAAGACTAATGTAGACGCAAATATCCTAGAAGCTTTTCTTTGTTTCACAACAAACCATGCATCAACTTTCTAAATTGAACACTTCTTCTATATAGTGAACATTTTTTAATAGTTTCCATGATGTTTATACAATAGAGACATATTACTGTACCTTTTTCTTTTTGTTTATCTCTGCTTTGTTATAGAAACATGACAGTTATTTTAACATTATTAGTATGTTATTTTTTCTTTTAAATAGAAAAAAAAAACGACATCATTAAAATTTATTAAGATGAGTGAAGATAAATGTTGACATTCCATAAAAGAATATTTGTATTATAAGTTCTATATATACAAATGTCATATGAACATAATAAAAGAAGAATATAATATCTATATTTTTATCGAACTGCACGTGAACGAGAAAGTGTAGGAATAAAATCACGTTTTTCTTCACGATGTAAATGCATTCGATTATTGATTAATTCAGAACAAGGATGATGACCACGACGAAGTTGTTGTATTGTTGGAAAATAACTACGTGTTAATTGTTCAATTTGTTCATGAAGACGTACACGAGATGACATAATTGATTCGTGTAAGAGATTTTCTAATGAGAATACATTTGGTAATCTTAAATGCATATTATTAGAATTAAATATATGTTTTGTTGTTGTTGTTCTTCGTGTTTGTAAAACTTTAACTGTTGTTAATTGTGGATGATGAACATTTTGATATCGATTATTTTTTGTTTTATTTATATGAGGTTTTTCAAATGATACAACTGATTCATATAAAAGTCTATCAATAGATGATGTTTGAGATTTTACATCATCATTTTTTACACTTGGACATTTATTTTGTTTTGCTATGGTCGGTACAGCACGTAATGTTTGTCCCGAATAACCGCTATTAATCAATGCGTTTGATATAGCATCAACAATTGTAGATGTTGAATCTGTCGGTATTGGAGGCATTTCAACAATTAAACTAACCAATACTGGACCAGTCAGATGTTTACTATGATTTGAAGATCGAATTCCTGTTGTTTGATTATTCGACTTATTATTATTATTGTTATTATTATTACTGTTATTATTATTGTTACTTTTATTATTATTTTTAATAAGAGGTTTTGGACGTGTTACTGGACGATTTATTGGTGATTGTTGAGCATGCGATGGAGGTACTGTATAATAAATTTCATATGCATCAGTTTGAACAATTGGTAATGACAAATTAACTTGACGAATTGGACGTATTGCCTTTGGTCTTTTTCTCATGATTATAGTCTTTTTTACTTTTTTATTTTGTTAATGAAAATTTTTATTTTGATGTTTCAAATAAAAATTGATTGAATTTTTCTTTTTTGTGTACCACCGAACTATATTTTTATTTATTGACAATAGAAAAATAACAAAATCAGTTGCAATAAGCCAAATATAATTTACGTTGTTTTTTCTTATTGAATTCAATTTTTTTTTTATTTTTTAATCAACTTATTCTTTTTTCATTATGAAACCTTTTCATTATTTGACTTGTCCAATGTTTATTTACAATTTAGATTCTCATATCAATAACGTCTTTATGAATGGAAGAACGAAATTAAGTGAAACGAGTCCCTAGTGATTTCTCTCTCGTATGTTATTATACCATGGTGGTCCGCCCTCAATTAATCCTTTGTGACCAACAGCTACTTCCGATCGTTAATTGAACGACATTGGACAGCTGTCTATTTCATTAAGAAAATAGAAAAGCTCTTCCTTTTTTTTCTTTTCTTTTCTTTCTTCTTTTTTTTGTCTCAATTAATTATTGTTGATATTCTTGCTATTTTTATTGGATAGGATATGCATCGAATGTTATCATTGATTCTATGATTACTATTGGATGATATTATGAGGAAGACACAAACATAATCAAAAAATAATCAAATCACCCAGTAGCAAGCTGAGATAGAAATGATGAATGATAATAGATTGTCGAAGGTGACGTACGATGCATAGCTTAGAAAAATATTGACGATTGGATCATAATCAAACAATAACATATAACATCATACTTCAATTTTTAATCACTTGCATATTGATAATGATGATAGTTGATTACAGTTTGCACACAGCAAGAAAGAATTTCATCATTTTTCATATGTTGAAAAGACAAATATCAAAACTGTATAATAGCATTGGCAAGGGCATAACTTACCACTGAAGACAGGAGGGAGCACGCAGCATAGGCAAGTTTAAAAACCATGGGAAGGGTGTTACGCTCCGTGCGCGCCTTTCATTAGCTACGCTCCTGAACATAAGTCTAAAATATCCAATATTGTGCTTTATTTAATGAAGTAAAATAGCTTTGCAAAAAGAACTTTACATTCCCATAGGATCGGTCTTGTTCTACAAATGAACTTAAGAAAAATTCTCTTTAATTTAATGTTAAAATCTTCTGAACAAGTAATTAATCACTGTTACGATTAAAGATTTCTTTCTTTCTTTTTTTAATATTTGATCTATACAATATGTTTGTTATCAATATATGATATTCACACATGCAATTACGCTCTCTTATCTCCGTGTGTCGTCTTTCGATCAGACAGTACTATCGAAAGAACAATTTGGAACTTGTTGGTATTTAGGTAACCTTTAAATAAAAGAACTGTCATCTTGACTATATAACCAGGTATTGTCTTAATCTATCATTATATGTACAGAATGATAACAATCAATTGTATACTACTGGTTGATGTTTATATTTAAGCATAAGCGCATACGTTCTAAAAATAATATCTCTCTTCTCTTCTAACATTCATCCAATCGTTATCATTCATAATATATAACAATGATGATTCTCAGAAAATAATGAGATATCTTTCTTTCTCTCTCTCTCTCTCTTTTTTTCCCCCTCTAACTGTGTTTTACACAGCAGGATATGCAAACGATCATTGTTATACTCTCATTGGTTCTTAGTCGTATATCATAAGCAATATATTGAGATTCAATTTGTTTTGTATAATATAGAAAATGACTTTTACTGATAAACCATTACCATTTTCAATTGATGATATTCTTAAATATGAAAAATCAAAAACATCAATCTATCCAACATTTATACAACGATCTTATCAATTTCCATCATTATTACCAACATCTTATCTTTCATTTTCAACAACAACAACTAAACATTCATGTTCTGGTAGGAAGATTTCAAAAGTTTTTGAGAAAAATGAAATTATTTTGTAATTTATTCTTCTTATAGAACATCGATTAACACATTGTAATTCAAATTTACATAATTGTCATTTATCAACATTACCATTAAATTCAACATATCCTAATTTG